TGTAAAACTTTTACTTAATTTCCAATTAATTTATGAATTTGTATATGAAAGTGTAGAAATGTAAGCTGAAAAAAAGAAATTTTGTAAAAGACGTCTGTTAAGAAATTTATAAATTCTTGATCGGAAAATTGATTAAAGACCTATTGTCAAAAATGATCATTTTATGACTTTATTCTATTTCTAAAGGCTTGATTATTATAGGCTTTTAATTGTGAAGAGGTGATGATGAGATTTTATTGAACTGAATAAACTTTGAGGCTTAACTAAAAGGAAAACATTTCACTCAAATTCTAAATTAAAATTAAAACTAAGAAGAAAAATTGAAAGGCAAACCCCGTCCCCGCCCTGTAGGGAATGAGCAGGGTGGGGGACGGGGTCTGCCATTTATATCTACGAAACGGTGGAACATTTCTTGTGTGAATGCGAGGCAGTTGCTGAACTATGACTGTGATACCTCGGGGGGATCAGTGGTCTTATAGCCCTGTGGCAGGCCTCTGGGCTTGATGTCGCTGCCATACTGCGGTTTGTTTGTTTGCGGTTTAATGAAGATGGGGATGGGACTCACAATATCTTATGGGTCGAGCTTAAGAGCCTCAGTTCCTGAGGAAAAAAAAATTAAAAAATAGAAGTAAAAATGTAATCGTTTATTGTATTGAATCCTTTAAAGTTAATAAATATGCATGTATGAGAATTTTCAAACATAATATCTCACATTCAATCAACGGAGCACGTCCACCTGAATACAATATTTTTCAAATTCGTGTATACAGTAAAAGAAAATGTCGCGTGCTTAAAATATGCTATTGGAAATTAAAAAGTTTTTTTTTTAAATTTTCTAAAATATATGAAATAAGATTTAAGATTCACAATGTATAAGGCATATACCCATATACCAATATAATATAGAAACTCTAGTTTTATTTTTTCTGTTGCAGCATAATATAAATTGGTTGGTTGGCTGGTTTACGCGATTAAACTGCAAACCAGTTTGGACGTCACTGTAGATATCACAGATGTGCAATTTCGTTATAATTTTCTCGTATACTATAGGCCTTCTTTCCGCGTCATTCCGTTTTCCTATAAGAAATCTGTCTACATATTCCTAACAGTTTTGTTAGAGTTAATACCAAATCCAGCCGTTCTTGCCTCACATAATGTACATACTGCGTTAATTACCAATTAAGCCCAGTTTATGTTAATAAAATGTTAAAATAATATCGCTCAACACGGAGCCCCCTCAATATGTAGCCCGCTCAATAGGGACCACGCTCAATATGAAGTCCGCTCAATACGGAGCCCGCTCAATATGGAACAATATCGCTCATAGAAGATTGTAGCTATATATGATTCTCAATTTTACCATTACAAATCCTTAATTTTCAAATCGCCGAGAACTTTGAAAATTAAATTAGATTATAAACAAAATTCACCGACAATACGCCATTCAAAAACCATTTAAATTTTTTTTTTTATCCAAAATCCAAATCCAATATTATTTTAGTTTATTAGGTGAACCAAATTCAAAATTATTTTTATATTTTTTTTTTTTCCCCAATATAATTGTTCATTAACCTTTAAATTTCATTAAAAAATGTATTTTATTGTTAAAATTAAAAAAAAAAGAATAAAACGGAGAAAATATTTCTTTTTTAACATCCTTTGGCATTTGTATTTATTCATTTATATTTCAAATGAAACAACAAAATTAAAAATAATAAAAATAAAAATTCATGAACGCGGAATTTTTTTCATTTAAGAGTCAAAACCAAACCAAAAAATAAAAAAAAAATAAAACAAAAGAAAATTCGTATTTAAAAAGATCCCCGAAAATTTTTCTATAACAAATTTGCCAAAATTTATAAAAACTTAAATTATTTAAAATCTTTGAACTCTTTTCAAAAAAAAAACAAGAGTACAATGAATTGAAAAACGTTTTCATTTTATATATTCTTTAAAAACCAAAAGAAAAACAATAAGAACAACAAAATGAAAAGGAAAACAACACAAAATCCAAACAATTTTCTTCTCCTTGTTAAAAAATTAAATGATGACTTTTTGAACATACAAAAGTGCTTTAGCAAAAAAATAAAGCAACAATAACAACAAAATAAATAAATAAATTTATAAAAATTAAGAAAAGAGAAGAACAAAATAAGAAACAGAAAAAAAATTCCAATAAAAATGTTTTTGCAATAAAAGTTTCTTTCAAAAGGATTGAAATGTTATGTCCGTTTAAAACGCGAACGAATTTCATATTATAAAATAAAAAAAAAATAATAAAAGAATTAAAATAGATCCAGTTAGCTTTAAGGTAATTTCAAAAACAGATTATTGACCGAATTGAATAATACTAGAATTTTATTGTTAATCTTTCTTTTTAGCTTGTTCAGCGCAGCAACAATTTTTCAACTCAATATTGTCGTTAACAATAAATTAACAATACCAGACAATCAAAATTCTAAAATTTTCTTAAAGAAGAGCAAGTTTACGTTTTCCTGACTCCAAAAAATGATTAGTTTTTTCTTTCTGGAACCGAGAATGTCGATCATATATATGCGAAATCTGGTGATCCCAAAAACAGAAAATTGTATTTGGGAACAAAACACCTGAATTAATACTCAAAATATGTATGAATTCCATTTTATTTATTTTAATTGAAACTTACAGTAGTTGTTAAATTCTTGATAATTTCAGTTGCAATCAACAAATTTATGTACACGTACTTAAGAAAATTACAAAACAAATCCACTAATTTAAATAAAATTTAATATGTACACACAACATGCGGTAAAAATATCGTCAGACTAGTCACCTACTTAGTAAATGACACAAGAAACTGGTTCTAAGTTATCTACAATATTATGCACCAGTCCTATGTTTCAAATTCTGTATTAAAACCATGTTATTACAATTTGGGGATCTGCGTTCGTTTTAAAAGCGTTTTTAAAAACAAAATTAAAAAAAATGAAATTAGTTCGCTAAATTTTTAGGGGGCTCCCCTCTCTCATTTAGTTAAATTTCCCTTCTTCTTTCAAGGAAATTTATAATATTTTCCCTCTTAATACAAAAAATTAATAAAATTTAATTTATTTCAATTAAATTTTATTTAATTTCTCAAAAAAATTCTCTCCTGTTCCTTTTTAATTGGTCAGTTCAAGAATACACTTTTTGGAATTGAGTGTAATTTAGCCCACCCCTTTCGAATTTTCATATATGTACATACGTATATATATAATTATTGTAGATTATTAAAAATCCCAAAATATAAATAATCTCATAATTTTTTTTTATTTATACAATATTCCTTTTTATTATTGTAAGGGTACTTAAAAACAAAATTATAATACCTTAAAAGTCAATGAGCATGAAGAGCATATCGTATGAGAGTAATAAAAAAGCAAACAACAAGTAAGACAACAACAACAAAACGCAAAAAAAAAAGAAAAATCATCGCGTTTTCAGTTAAACAAATTTAATGAGAAGTGAGTAGCGAATTACACAAAGTAACCAACATTTTATATATCTGGTAATTTTTTTTTTATATTTTCTCTTTTACTTTTTTTTTGTATTCATACGTACTATTTAGTCCAAAAAGGAGCGCTAAAAAGCCGTTAATAAAATTCCAGCTATAATTTAAGTGCCAATAATTCTTTCAAAAAAAAAAAAAAAAGAAGAAAAACAAAACAAGAAAAGAAAAATTATACAACGAGAATAAAAAACATCTACATATGAATGTGCCGCGCTTTCAGCTCAGATTAGCTATACTCATTGTATAATTCGGCTTAATTCAACGCAACTTAGGTCAAAATCATTTTAAAATAACAACACAATTTAAAAAAAAAAAAAACCAGAAGAAGAATTACAAAAAAAATGAAGAAAATAAAAAATTATTTTAAGGAATTTTAATACATTAGCGGATTAATGCAAAATTCGATTTATTTAATCCTTTTTATTCACTTAAATGCGTATATATTGTTGTAAGCTGACTTGTATTATAGCATTTACGCTAAGGTATTAAATAATTCAAAGTTAAAACAAAATGAATTTTATAGTGGAATGACAATCAGTTGGTGTTCTTTAATAATTTGGATTCAGACTTGCAAATATTAAGGATTGCATTTTAGTTGTATCAACTAATTTTGGTTTGTCATTGATATTAATAGGACTGGCCCCTAACAACATTTCTAAATTGTTAATACTCAAAATATTTAAATTTAAAATTTGTTCGATGAATCATTTATTTCATGTTTTAAACTGGAAAATTATCAGGCTAGATCACGCGATTCAATATCATTATAGATTACTTTTGTTGAGTGTGAGTAAAAAGCTTTTCGTAATATCGGTTAGCCGACATCGATTAAACATTTAAAAGAAAATATTCGATCGGTGTACATTTGATCCTTTAAAATTGAACATGAAAATTGTAATTTGGTTCGAAATTAAATTTCAAAATTAAGTTCCGGCAATTGGTTTAAATATAACTCAACACTTCCAAGGTTTGGCCTCCCTTAGATTCCACTTTTGAAAAGAGCGAAACAGGCTGGTTTATACTGTTCATGCACTGATTTTACTACACAATAGTCAAATTTCAAGAATTAAATCGTATCTTATGATAATCTGATATAACTAAAGTTTCACTTGATTAATTGTACGTAAATGTGCAAAGCATAATAGTGCACTTAAGTCAAGTTGTTCCCAAATTTTTTATTATAATTTTTTTTTTTTAAATGTTTTTTTTTTTGTATTTTTAAATACTGTGATGTTTAAAATATTGCTTTCCTTTTTTTCTCCAACAGAACTAAAAAAAACCAATTTTTTTTTTTTTTTGGGTGTTTTTTAATTTTAATGTTTTTTATTCCTTTGCTAGTTTGCCTCTTTCCCCCATTTATGATCATTATTATTTATTTATACTTCTCATTTCAAATTTTCCTCTTAATTATTAATTAAAAACAACGAGAAAATAATATTAAATTATTAAAGGAAATTTTATAAGTGTATACCTCGACTTGCTGTTGTTGTTCCAACATGACCAAATAGATTTGAATTTGGATCCCAAAATATACGATCAAAACAAAGGACAACTTTATTTAAATTACCAAAACCTAAACGTTGTATGGCAGCTTGTTTCCATTCTGGTAATGGTGGATCAAATTTAACAGTATTTGCTTGATTTGTTGATGCTGATGAGGTAGCTACTTTAAGAACACCAAGTGTTAATGTACATAAGGCAAGATCAGCTGTAAATTATAAATCAAAAAAGAAATTTATTTAGAAAACTTTTAAAAAAAAATAAATATGAAATTTAATAATTATTTATAGAATTATTAAAAAAAAAAAAAAGAAAAATATTAATTACAAACAAGCATTTAATTGACTTGAAATATTATTTTAAAAGCATAAATTTAAAATCTAAATCGTCTAAAAATTTCAAAATAATTAAAGGATGTGCCATTAATAATAAATGATCTTAGCAATTAATTTATTCCATTGGGACTTTCTGTTTTAATTTGATAAAGTAAAAGCAAATGCAAGATTTAAAATGCCGCCGTGGGAGTTTTGTTTAACTTGATTTTTTAAAATAATTTATGCTCGGTTATCACTTAAATGAGAAAGTAATGGGGGTACTTTCAGTTGTTAAAATGAAATTTCTAAAATTTTAACAGCAACCCACTAAGGTAACAATTATATTTAAACATGAAAAAATTAATATTTTAAAAATATTTTTTGGCATTAATAAAGTTCAACCCAAAACTATTCTTTTTCTTTAACCTTAAACTCATTTATCAATCTGATTGCATATTTCATAACCTCACTTTTTATTTTCTATAAAATTTTACCATCTATAACCAAAAAAAAAATTCATAACATTTTAAGGGTATATGAAAATATTTTAACCTTTCTAAAAAAATACATAATCCTCTCACAATAAAACAATTTTCTTGACAGTATCCAAAGCCAAACTATATTGAGATCGCGTGATTTTCAGTTTGGAGATATCTTTTACGAAATACCAACGATAATAACATACTTAGGATGAAAACAAATATTTTTAATTATTGTAATTTTGAAAAACAAAAAAATGAAATATCGCGATTACATTTTACACATATTTTTCATGCTCTTTAAGTTTTTAGCTAGTGAGAGTGAGAAATACTGAATTTATAAATTACCTAATAATTTATTGTATGTAGATATTTTGTAATATTTGTTCATATGAAAAGATTCGTGAAAAATTGCGGGTCTATGTAAGTTTCTTTTATTTTTTTCTTGAAATTTTTCAAATATTATTTATAAAGTTATTCATTTGTACAACATTCTGTAATTAATTGATAATTTTAAATAAAAATGGTAACATTCGTGAAAATAAGCTCACAGTTTTGTGCACACATGTATCAGAAGACGTAATGTAATTATATCGTATAGTGTGATGATGGTCGGATGAAATCGTAGAGCGATAAAAATTTCCTTTAATCTTACATAAATATAGAAGTTAATTAATTGTGATAGCGACATTAAATTGCTGAAAAACAAAGTAACTACTTCGAAAAATTCGGTTAGCTACATATAAGAACGGTGAATATAAAAAGCGGCGGAGGGAGAGTGAAAGTATTTGCTGACGATTTAACTGACATATTTAGCTCATATATCAACCAAAGCACACCAAAGCATGGAGTAAAGTAGAAATAGAACGGATAAATATGATATAGAGCGGCGTGATGTATATCCTTGCTCTAGGAATCGTCTACCGCTGTAATGCTAATGTATGCTCTTGCTCGTGAAGTCGTTTACTACTGTAAGAGTTGATATTTTATTTTCAAAATGCATACTGCATTTCGGCTCTTAGTTTTATTAACGTGATATGTCTATTAAGCTTGTTATAGCCAAAAATTTATCCGCTACAACTAATGTTTTTCTCGGTCTTCAAAACCCTGCAGTTCAGTTTGTACTGTCCGTAAGTTGATATTTTTTTAAATTAATGCGCAATAGTATTCCTGTCTCTTTTTTAATTTTTTTTCCAACTTCTCGTAATGACAGTCTTTCCTTATTCAAAGCTATAACAACTGATTTTTTTCCGATGTTAATTTTGATATTTTTCTACTTCGTCTCACCTTTTTAACTTCTTAATGAATACTGACTTAATACGATACATGTGCCCTACTTTTATACTTGCATTAAAGGATATATAACATTACTACATTGGCAAATGTATCGTCTAACCCTTCTAAATTACTTGTTGAGGGCCATTCATTCTTAAACTTTTCGATGTGCCGGTGTTTATGGACATTGCAAATTTTTTAATTTTACTTGTTTGACAGGGTACTATTCGAATGTGAAATAGTGTCTACCATTCGAATGTGAAATTGATTGGTACCACCTATCAAATTCGAGATGTCACTTTAGTTACTGCATAAACATTTTGAAAGTTCAGCTGCCATTTTCATATTTTTTTGTTTTCGTTCAATTCAAGTTTGTTTGAATAATTTATTTACTTCAACAGTAGCGTTAGTAAGGAGCAAAATCGGTTTTACATTACCATTAAACGGAAGGTATTAAGGGACAAATCAAATATTTTAGAAATGCAAAAAATGTAAGTACAACTTTTCTTTTTAAAACGATAAATGCTTATTTCTGATAAATTTCTTTTTTAGATTTAATAAAAATTACCAGCTATCAAAACAAAATTTTCTATACGGTTTGAATTCTCTCAAAAGCGAGTCAAAGATATCAAGGCGGTCAATGTGTGTACCGGAAACTATTAAACTACCGGGAACACTATGATTTCTGGTATAAGGACGCTACCGACTTGGAATCGGGGAAGATATGGACGTAACACTTACACAACAAACAATATTCAACGTTATTACAGAAGAGTACAGTGTTACAGAAGAAAATACATATATGTCCAATAGAAATAAAACTAAAAATGTCAGTAACTGAACAAAGGAAAGCAAAATAAAATTTTTATTAAAAATAAAAATTTCCAGTGGTCATAAGAGCTATAGATGAAACACAAACCCAAATAATTAGACCTGTTGAAGATGACCATTTGTATTTGTAAGAAAAACGAAGCATAAATATAAGTTAACAATGTTTCATTTAAATTATTTGCCTTCAGTTTTGCATCAGCAGTTCGATAGTAGCCCTTGGTAAGTTACTTTTAGCTGTTCAGAAATTCCACCATTATTTCAAATTGGGCGGGTTTTGTTACTTGTTTATTCTTGCATATAAAATTTCATGGTATAAAAAAAATTCAACTCAATTAATTGAAAAAGTAGATAAAACTTTAAATTTTAAATATTTTTACATGATAGAGACCGAGAACGGACGAATCTTAAGGTAGTTTCTTGTGTTTATCATTAACTGAACATTATATCAATGTTATAGATATACAAAGAACGAAAGGAACTTTTAGAAAGTCCAAAATTTTTTAATATTATTATAAATGGAGATCAGTGTATACACCGTATTAGTTTGCCTACTAAACATAAATCGCAAGAACGGCAGATGTACCACATCTTTAGTTAAACTTAACTAAACTTACATACAATGTAAGTGATGCGCGTATGTTCTTCCGTCGTTTAATTATATTAGATTTGATGAAATAAATAAATACAACAATCAAAGACGCTATTACAATGCAAAATTGCTGAATTAAGTCGATTTCGGTATAAGATTAAGGCTTCAAAATCGCGAATAATGGAAAAAATATTTTCTAAAAATTTTTATCCGAGAAATCATTGCAAACTGCAAAAACGAAGTATAAATTAAATAACAAAATAAAATTATTAATTTTTATTTTTCAAAATAGATGGCGATATAGACGCGTGCATGGAATAGTATACCTCTTCATATATACATATACAAATTTTTCAAAACAAGTCGAGCTACCACTATTAACTTTATTTTATATCAAAATTCTTATAAATTAATAACAAATTTCTTTTTTTTTTTTATTTGTAAATATTTTGCTTTCATAATCTAAATTACATACCTTTATATGTTACAGATGAATTATTTGTCTTTAAATTTTCTGTTGTAATTTCAACTCCTCCGGGAAAATATTTAATTTTTTTAACCGCTGTATTTACGCGAATATCTAAACCTTCAGTTAATGCAATTGGTACGCATGAATATCCATTACGAACTGTTAAAATAAAATAAGAAAAAAAATCAGATGAAAATCAAATTTTTTAAAAGAAAATCAGAAAAAAAAAAAAGAGAAAATATTTTTTAAAAAATATTATTCATAATTGAGGTTAGGTTGTAAATATTTTTCTCTTAAAAAATATTATTAAATCATTCAATAAAAAAAATAAAATAATGCAAAGAGTAAGTAGGAGCCTTAAAAATTTATTGGCGATTTTTAAATAGAGCTAACACAAAAAGTAGAAAAAAAACCCAATAACAATTTAAAATAATAAGTTGCCTAGTTGAACGTAGGATAATATAATAGCTAAGGTATACCATGTAAAAGAGACCTTATAATAAGATTTATGATCTATTCTAATAAATTAAGAACTGTGAATACGAAAGGTAAAAAAAAAAAGTAAAAAATGTCTTCGATACTTTGATATTTATTGGGAGAACTGAGAATTTTATACACAAGAGTATCACTAATAAATTTTTTTTAAACTTATAACACCTTATATAGTGTAAGATCCGGCAAATTAATTATTAATTATTACTACTTTTAATGACCTTCTCCAACAATTTAATGTTAATTAAAATCAAAAATTCCAGGAATAAAGCTCATAAAATGCAAAAATAATTAAATAAATTTTGATAAATAAATTTTAAGGTGTTCGTTTTTGATTAATGTGATCATTGATTAATAGCAAGTAAATGACACTGTAACTCGATTTGACTCTTAAATTGATTTCAGTTTTTAATAATATTATGCAAAAAAAGACTTCCGTAATTGATTTGATTATATTTAAATACCGCATTAGATTATTTGTTTGCTTAATTTTATCGTATAGAGCAGGAAAATTTATACTTGTTTTCGACTCTATATAAATTGTAACGAGATGTTTTTAGAGCAATTCGCCACTTGTTTTTGATAAAATTTTGAACAGTTTTCAATTTTAAATGAAATATGTATATTTCTGTATATGTTTTCATTGATGATTTCTCATTACTAACAATAATTAAGTTTCTTATTACTCGCATTTTTCATATTTCTGAAAAAACTGTCAAGTTTACACTGTTCTATTGCACACTCTTAAAATACTAAAGCTAAAGAATCTTTGATTTTGAAATACAGTGTTCATATATTCTGGCTCTCAATATGAAATTAGTAATTGGTTGGCCATCCATTATTGAATACACATTCATTTTTACAAAAGTGCAAATATACAGTAATTGAATTCAAATAACTAATAATACTTAGTTGCATACTTAAATATTTTTGTTACACTGATATTATGAAACAGATAATAGAATGCAAGTTAAAGGCACACAGATAATAAAGAAACATGGAAATAAAATTAATTTTTAATGTCAGAAATTTTTGGAATTAATAAATTTTAACTAAAAAAAAAACAAAACTTAAGTACGAAAACAAAAATTAATACTTTTGGCTAAATTTTATGATGTAAGCGATTTATTTTAAAATAAATTGTTTAAAAAATATTACAAAAAAAAAAAATAGCAAAATGGAGAATTATCTTCATCTATATTTTATGGAGCTGTTGATAAATGAATTAAATTTGCATTTTTGTTAAATTAATTTATAGCCTTTTGGGGATTTTATGAGCAACAGAAATTTATTAGAGCTGATTAAAGCCATTTTTCGTCTTATTCGGTTTTTTTTTTTTGTTTTTTCATTTTTTATCTCCTATTTTACACTTTTTTGTTTTGTCTTTTTTTTGTTAAATAAATTCCTAGAATATCATTTTCATATAGATATATGCATATATGTGTGTGCTTGTGTATTGCAACGTTGTATAATAGAGTCAAGAATTCATGTAAAAAGAACCGAAAAAGTATTAGTAAAAAAATTTTTGATCCCATCTACTCCAAGCTTCATGGCTATTAGAAAATGTTAGAATAAATATGTTTTTTACAGTTTTTAAAAACACTCCCCCCTCTTCCTATTCCTCAAATTCTCTCCTCTCGCAGAAATAATTTTCGCTATGATGAACTATTGAAATAGAAGTGAAATTACGGCCCAAATTTTTAATGATATAGAATTTTTGGATTCTGGGTTCTAAGTCTGAAACAAAAAAAACAAAATAATGTCGGTTAATTCTAATTTTTTCGTACCTCATTTCGAACTTCAAAAATCTAAACTCGTGGTCGGAGTACCATATTTTAAAACACAGTTCTTTGCATATAAAAACTTGTTTTATGTTTGAACAGTTGAATCTAAGCCCGGACATCGGATCCGAAAAATTGAAAAACCAAATTTAACTAATTTTCGATTCGTAATTTCGGTAAATTCGATATTACCTCAAAAAGAGTCCGAATTCTATTCTATAATAACAGAACCCTTCACTGATTTTGTCTCAAGATGAAATCAAACTTGATGCTTTTTCCCGCCCTCCTGCTCCATAAATTATATACAACTTTACTGTACAATTAGTCGGATATTATGAGGGTCTGAAATTTTGGAAAAATTAAGCCTTATTTACGTACTTTTAACTTAACTACGTTCATCATTTACAACTTTTGATTCGATTATTAATATTCGAACTGCTGCTTAAGCAATTCCAAATTTTTATTATTTTAGTAAAATAAACGAAAACTTTATTTCATACCATTCATCCATTCTTACCAATGTAAACCATCTTTAACATAACGCTTTATAACATAAAAATTCCAAAGTATCATGAAAATTTCTCCAATTTGTTATGGTTATAAAATAGAAAACTTTGTATTTTAAAAGTATAGAAAAGAATACCATAATGAAAAATTAATTTCAATTTTATATTTTTGTTTGAAATTTAATTCAAAGCAAGTCTATATACGTTATGTATGTAAGTATGTATAAAATGTCTTACCACACACGATTTTTTTTAAATGTGATTGAAGAAAAGCGTTAAGATCGCTTTCATCAATAAAAATTTTGATCGGATAAAAGTGATGATTAGATTTTTTTTTTGTTTTTGTCTTAAATGTGTTTTTTTTTTATTTCTAGTTTTTTTTCTTTTTGTAAATTGTCACCTTAATTCGTATAAATTTTAACAATTAATTTGAAAGTTTTTATTATGTATTTGGGTTGCAATAATTTTTTTTTTCTCAATTTATTCAACAAGCTGTAAAAATTCATTTTTAATATATGAAGATAAAGCTGTCATTATATTTACGATACAGCTTTTGCGATAACTTAATGGCTATTTTTTGTTTAATATCAAAATTTATGAGTCATCTATTCAATTTCATTTGATATTAGAATTTATTTAAGGTGATTTACTGCCATTTGTATATTTGTTGAAGACTTTTTACGATAAATAAATTAATATTATGTATTAAATGATAGCAATTAGTTGAAAAATAAAGTCAGATTATACGATAATCGTAAAATTTTTATATGAATGTTAATTTAGAATATTAGTGTTGCCGTGTATGAAATTCAATGCGAAACTTGTATAGATACTTAAAAGTTTCAGGTTCTGAAGCTCTACTGGATCTTAAAGAAGGAAACGTGAATTTTTGTTGATTTCATTTGACTTTGTCATTTAGCACTAGTTCAATAGCAGGCCTTCAAGTGTAGCAGATCATGTGCACCCCGAAAGCCTCTTCAATCCAATAAATCGATATCTTCCAAAAACAGTCTTTTCCTTCGCATTAGAGCGGGACAGTCGCAGAGCATGTGTTGTTCCGATGCTTCGTTATTCCCGGCAAACATTCGATGAGGAATTTCTCAGCCTCTTTGCCATCATTCCCAATAAACGGTATCCATCAAAATGCCAACACTGATTTCCCTCCGGCTCAATGCCACCAGATCTGTCGTTATTACCCAATTTTCCTTCGCTCGCAGAGTCGTTGTCTTTGCATAAGTTCGCATGCCGTCTCAAAGCTAATTCCTCCACATTTTAGTTTCCTTATCTAGTTTTTCAAACCACAAAAGGATAGAGCAGTCCACTTTCGTAATGTCGTTTATTTATTGAAGGTTATTGATATTTATGGTATTATTTTTTTTAGTTGGTATTCAATACTGAATCGAAACCAAGAACCTTGAACCTGAGACCCTTCAGTTAAAGGTGTCGTAACCATTTAGCCCCGGAATACATTTACAACTACCGAAGATTTTATAGCACTGGAGGCTGAAATACATACTTGTATCTATTTTTGAACAGTAACAATATGCATGTAATATAAATTCAACACTAGCCAGCTGCAATTTCAAAACGTCTGACAATTTAGGTAATCACATTCGACTTTGTAAAAATAATTATAACCTTCAAAAATTACAATTAACATAAAAATTTCTTGTAAATTTTTTGTTTATTACATCTCGCCTACCAATTCATTTCTTGGATAACAAGCTTATATTTTAGTCAAAAAATTTATGATTATAGACGCCATAATTCTTTTCAATATTAAACAAATCGCAAGAAAAAGATATCAAATCCCGTCCAATTAGATAAATTAAAATTTCAAAAAATATAAAGACAGATAATTTTATTTATAATTAATTTTCTTCCACAATCTGTAGGTAAGTATGTAGGTATGTAAGGAACCTACATCATAATATTTAATTTATAAATTTGGATCATATTTTTTTTTTAAATCCACCTCAAAATTTTATTAATTGGTTTATTTATTTTAGAATATTGTTATTTTTTTTTTTATACAATATAATTTATTTTTAATTAAAAACCTTTAAAAATAATAAAAAGATGACATATTGCCAACCTATTATAATATTCAGATGAAATTTATACCTGAATTAAAAAGAATTCTTACGAAAGGATCTATGTATATGTATATGTATAAGTAATATGTAAAAAATTATATAACTTTTGTAAAAATTAAAATTTGGTAGTGTGTTATGAAGATAAGGTTTCGTTGATTCGGCGTTGGTTTCAATAATATTCGTCGAGTTCGGCAGTTAAATATTTAAAATAATGATAAATGGAGCTTCCAAATTTGATTGAGGGAATAGGATTATATTTATGTAGCGTATAAAAATAATATTGC